GCACCTGGCCCGCCGACATATGGGTGGTTGTCAAAATTATGGTCCCTTTTGAGGTCCCTATTATAATACGGCACCTAATATTTAGGGTACCCCAAAAGGGACCATAATTTTGACAACCACCCATATGTTTCAAGGGGCATGGACAAGGTTACTGCGGTGGCTGAAGCGCTTTAGGACGTCCTATAAGCCTTGAGGTAAGTCCAACCTGTCACAGTGCCTGGGTGCCCATAAAGAAAACTAGAAATTAAGCCGCTGCCCTGACGAGACTGTTGGCTGAGAGGGAGGGTCTAAGGACTTTAGGAGGGACCNNGGGTTATATAATGACTATATAAGGGTTATATATGGTAATGGGATTAAGGGTCCCTATTAGGGGTCCCTCCTAAAGTCCCTAGAGAGGGCAAGGAAAAACTAGGGACTCCTAATAAGATGGAATCACCTCGTGCTCGTACCTTTCACGTACCCCGCAAGTTCTCCTCTAGAGCTATAATTACCTTGAAACCACACAGGCAAAACGTTCCCGCGCGATTTCAGGTGATGAGTAGGTAACCGTAGCAATCAGTAGTCGACTCCACGAGTCTGCGTGATAAATTCGTACGCGCGCATGCAGGCGCATGTGGGCATTCTGGAGCCTGTCCCTTCTACCCCAAAGTCTCTTCTTCCGTCTTGTTCTTGTTCTTCTTCTTCTTCTACAGGCTCTGCTTCTTCACGGGGAGTTCCGGATACGAGATGTTGTGAAAGCCACAAAGCAGGCCCTACTGGGAGGGCCAGGGGGACTTAGTAAGAAGGTTAATAACTTTAATTTAATAACCCCTACAACCCACATAGTTACCCTGGTTACCTCCCTTCTTAACCTACTTATTAGGTCCCATAAAACATAGACCCGAAATACTGTAATAGTTTCCATTATCTTCTCCATTCTGACTAAAAAACCTCTTTTTACACTAGGTCTCCCTGACCCTCCAAGTAGTCCATACTGGCCTTCGCAACAGCTTTCTTCGCTACTCGAGCCTGCTGTCCCAAAGGGACCTAAGTACCTCTAAACGGGGTTACTAATTAACCCAAAACCCTGTACTAGTTTCCTATGGAGAAGCCCTACTTTGTACCATATGCGTACTTCGGATCCTTTGCATGTGAGACTCCATCGCCACTATAGGCTCTCTCTCTCCCACCTTCCCGCCCTCCCTCTCTCCCGCATGCCTAGATGTGTATGTAATACAGTTGGTGAAGCCCCGGAAGCGGGCTGCGCAGTTCAAAGAAACCGTATTTTAAGGGGGTATATAAGGGTTATATTAGGAAAATAAAGCGGAAACTACTATATTAGAATGGGCTATACAAGGGTCATATTGGGATAATGGAAAAGAAAATAGAAACTACTATATGATAAGGTTTTCCCATGGCTCTCCTGGCTCAAGCAGCTCCGGGCAGCCGTGGCCTGTACAGCCGGCAGCCTGTTCCGTCACGCCGGCACACCAGAAGTGCACAATGCAGCGGGCCAAAATAACTGGAAGAGGGTGGCGAGGCATTTTGTCGTACAGAGTCCTTTGGGTAAAGATAGTAAGGGGATCGTCTTCTGTACTATTCAGGCCTCTGCATTCTACATGCACGCTGTTCCGTTCGGCAGGTCCTGTTCAGAGGTGGTTGCTCACACGAGCTTGGGACTGAACTCACCTTGTCATATCCTTTTGTGCCGCTCTGAACCCTAAACTCTGAACTTTCTAGGGTTTAGGGTTCGGGGCTTAAGGTCCAGGGCATAGAGTCTACGGTGCAGCTACATCGCTGACATGACCCTTGTCGCGCCCGAAATATTATGCTAGGGGCTTACACCAGCGGGGCTATTTACCTACTAACTAAGTCCCCTCACCCTCCAAGCTATAACCACAAGACCGCGTGAAGAGCGTCCAAACAGGACATGCCATGTTCAGAAACTGGCAAGTGGGAGTTTCTCAGAAGAATCCTCATAATGTCATAGAATTCATTTTAACAAGGCCCCTGCATATATATATATAAACACATGTATGATACCAGGAAGCCCCAAGCACCAACTCCCTAAACCCCGAATACCCTACACCTCAAAACATGATAACATATGAATCTGTATAGGTCACACCGTCGGCGCTCCAGACTTCCCTTGAATCTGGGTTTCAAGCTCATGGAGTCATGGAATCTACAGGGTGCGAAGAGTTTAGGGTTTAGGGCGCGAAGCCCTAACCAAGACACGTCTGGCAATACGTAAATGTTATCCATGAATTTGCTCATTGAACTAAGTACGTGCATAATCCCACAGAAAATACTATACAGCGTAGATGAAGCATCTACATCGTCACACATGGGGTCGTCTCAAGTTGAATCGGTGAGATTGGAGATTAAAATTCTCAGGAAGGCTTTGCCCGTGTAAATCTTCAACCGAGAGCCTAAGAGATTCAAGCGATCCAAGCTAAATTAGTGGGGTAAACGGTTGCAGGTTCAAGTGCAACTTTCTGAGAATCTTGAACTCTCAACTGTCCATCCTACAGATTCAACTTGAATCTCTAAAGCCGCCGGGAAAATAACTCAAAACCCTAAAGCCTATGCTCTAAATGTGAGGGAAGTGAGGCTTCTCATATACATATCATATCTAAGGGTCTCGCACGATTAGGGGTACCTTTTTGGGGGCCCCCATACTAAGGACTGTAGTATTTTCGGGTGTATACTAGGGTCCCTCTGTTTTAGGAAATTTCCATATCGCGGCTGTATTTCCGGGTGTCCTCTACTGTGAGAAACTCCAGAATCAGGAAGGGGCCAAGGGCTCCTCCTCCTGAACCCTAAACCCTAAACCCTAAACCCTAAACCTCATCTTCGAGCCAGCTGATGTCGTAGCTGGGGCCATTGCCGTTCCTTACAGGAAGGTCTTCCAAAGTATGGGGTCGTTTTGGAAGGAACCACTCTATAATCAGGTGTGTGCTATTGCAGGATGTATAGGAAGACTTCTGATTTTCAGAATGCCCGGATGGGTGGCAAAGAGAGAATGGGCCAACACCACGGCTTTCCCACCCCGCGCAAAATTTAAAACTATGAAGGACCATGACGTTGGCACACATCCCAGACAATGCGCAAGTGCCCAAAGCTTTGTTCTCCCTGCACACCCTGACCCCTATATAAATCTGCTGCAAGCGCTGCTGCCACAAATTGATGGCTCAAACGCCCAAGTGAACAAACGTCAGCTGCAGGACCCACTCGTCCTAAATCCGAAGCCCGAAGCCAATCATAGCCGTTAAGGGTTTAGGTGTTAGGACAAGACAGACCGACCCTGAGACTTCATGTCATCTAGCTGTAGCATGCTTTAAATTTAGCAGATTCCCCAGATTTCCCCGAAACCATCAATAGCGTTTCTACCAATCCGGCTCTCTTTGTTTTCCCAGTACCTACCCCCTTGGGCCCACACCCTCTAAAACATCCTAAACCCTAAACCCTAAACCTGAAAAAGGATCCTGAACCCTTTTTTTGAGTCACGGACTGAAGCCAGAGCATCTGACAAAGCATCCTTTTGAAGCTACAAGCTGAGCGAGAAGCACCCTTAAAATGAGGCTAACGGGCACTAAGCTTCGCCAAGCCCCAAACTCCTAAACCATTAAACTCCCAGACCCTAAACCCCCCAGCCCTTAACCCTATGCCTTTTGGCTGTCCTAACCCCAGACCCTTTTGCCTGTCCCAAACCCTTCAAAGCCTAAACCCTGAACCCTAAACCCTGAACCGTAAACCCTAAACCCTATAAACCCTAAAGCCTACACCCTAAAGCCTAAACCCGAAAGCCTAAACCCGAAAGCCTAAACCCTAAACCCTGATCCCTAAGTCTGAGGCTCTCTAGCTTCATCCCGTACTCCGCTGGGTCGAGACGGACGAAGTGGCCTCTGAGACCCAAAGTGGCTTAGGGCTTAGGACTTAGGACTCATAGCGTATAAGGTTTAGGGTGTTGAAGTTTGGGGATTTAGGGTTTAGGATTTTATGTGGCTTAGGGTCTGGGATTTAGGATTTCTGGTTTGAGGCTTTCGGGTTCAATCGTGCCTCTGAGACCCAAAGCCAGGCATCCCGTCTCCCAGTTCGCCAGCCAAATGCCCACGGCGACCGGGGTGTAATACCTTGATTCAACGATGCTGATTTGAGCGTGATACCTCTTGTGCTTTGTCCCTCACTAAAACTATGTGCTCATTAACTGTCGAAATTGTTGGTACTCTCTTCCCCTCGCTTAGTCGATTACATGATCCCTATATAATCCTTATATAACCCCTATATAGTATATTCCCTTATTCCCAACGCCTATGGAGCTGCAGCCAAAATGCTGAATGTAGACCCCTTATTCATAAACACCTCCTTTAAGTGCATAAACACTAGGACCCCTATAATCCCTATTAAGGCGAGGGGGTTTATTAATCAGGGGTCTGGGTTACCCCAGGTATAGCGGATAACTTCATGAATTTCCGGGCTGTGTGGTCTTTGTCTTTAACGGGGGTTGAATAAAACCTATACCTGTTGCTAACCGGCCCTTGTCGAAGACCTACAGGACAAGGAAGCCGATGCGTGATGGACCAAAATCGATTATTCACGAACTTGGGCACTGATACCTCATGTTATTCTATCCCCCAGCTCACTAAGAATGGTACACTAGGAGTATGTAAGTATCCTATTAACTTACCAGTAGTGGATGTTGGGCCCACCTAGCCAGTACCGCAGACAGCTCATGCTAAACCCAAACCAAAACACCGCGAATTCTTTGCAGCGTAGAAGTCGAATCGCTTGGCATCGGGTGTTCCAACACAGCGCACCTGTTTGAAGTGTACTCTTGTGAAACTATGCCTGCGATTCGGGATCCCGACGATATCTAACCCCGCTTGAACTCGTCATATTCCAAGCAGGAAACATAAGCAGTCACCAGCATAGACAATAACAAAGAACCAGGGAAAGACTTTGAATGCGGAGGAGATATCTATTCTTCTGCCATCTTTCCTGGGAAGCTGTTAAACAGGTAAACCCCAAGCCCAAAACTCTAATGCGGGTATATTCAGGCTGTATCCTGCAAAAAGAGTTAGAAATCAATTACTCACATGCCTACACCAGGGCACAGGCTGTGCATTCAATGAGGATGGGGCCCAGCGGCAGGCTTCGAAACATCGGCCGAAGCGCCGGAAAGGAGGTGCATCGGTATCCAGGGGTGTGCGGAACCTAGTGCGTTTAGGTGTTTGGGTTGGGGCTTTATGCGGCCTTCACTTTTGTAAGGGAGGTCTCGCCGCTGCCCCAGAAAATTGAAAGCAAACGTCCATAGACGTCCTAAACCAAAACACGAGAACAAAGTTCTCAACGCTAGATAGTAAAATACAGTAAATGCAACCTTAAGGTCCAGGCTTCGGGTGGAGTTTAGGGTTTAGGGTTTTGGAACCTTAGAAGCTGAGAATTCAAGTTTTCTGTAGGTTCAAGCCGGGGAAGGGCTTGTTAGTTACGGGCTTCGATGGGGCAACCCGTGACGTATGGCTTCCTCTGTAAGCAATCTGGCAGACCCAAAGTGGGATAGACTGTAGCAAGTGAGCTTTCTGAGCATGTTATGTGGCCATCTACCTATCTACCCTGTTAGGTACCTGAGGGTTTGGGATTGAACGTCAAGGATACCTAAGGTGTTTCAGGAAGAATCCAAGTAGCAACCTACTTTCATACTAGATGGGAAATTCTGTGACTCTTGGGTCTTGGACCCCTAAACCCTGAACTCCTAAACCCTCAACCCCTCTGCCATCCAGGTTACTCAGCATCCGCGAAAAAGAGGGAATGGAGAGGCAAGCGCGACTTCAGGCCCTGCATAATGGCGATGAAGCGTGGGATATACCGAGACGCGTACCCCAGTGCGCAGACGCAACAGATATGATCCTCTTCTTGGTTGAAGCGAGGGCCCAGGGCAGCAATGACGCTCTGATGATCTGTGCCAGGTCCTATCCAGCATGTGGCTACTCCCAAGCCTTGCGAGCTGTGGAATTTCACGTTACTCAACGGCGTGATCAGATTCCCCTTAACGAAAAAAACACGGACATCATGATTGCTGACTGTCTAGGATAGGGCCAGCTTAGCCTACAGAGTTTGCTGAAGTATGTCCAGGAAGCGGGTGGCATGGAGCACGACCTTTTGCAGGCTCCTTCCCACATCCAAGACTGACATCCGATCATATTGCCTTGGATGCTTGCGCAAGCTAGCCGAAGGTACCCCCTAATCTATGCGGCTGCAGACACCAGAAATGATGGCAACATCTCCCAAGAGCAGAAGCCAGATGCTTTGGGACTAAGGCAACAAGAAATTCCCGAGCTCCTACCACAGGCCAAACAGTTAGCGGCGCCTGAACATACAGCAGCCGAATCCTTCTGTCCCCCATGAGATGGCAAGGCTGTGTGTGAAGCTGGCTCACGTGGAGAATCTCTTTGAGATGGCTGGCAGAAAGGCTATGCGCCTGAAAGGACCGGCAGGAGCGCCGTTGCAGCATAACCTCAAACACGTCCACACTACGCGGCAGGGGGGGCCGCTCCGTGGGATGTAGTCCAAGCTTGATGGTGGCCACATCGAAGGCCAAGACAGCGGTGAGAAATGCGCCCTGGCAGGCGCAGATTTTGTATATCCACGTGTATCCAAAGCGCTGTGCAGAGGACGCTGCAAACACTGCTGCGGTGGCAACAATGAGGTTGGGGAGAAACTGCAACCAGCCTGACCGTAAATAAGTTTGGGACAGTTTGGGTGTGTGTATGAGAGGGAATGAATAGAAGATCAGGGTTGCTACCACTGCTCCTCCTAAACCTGTTCATTTCGCTTTTTCTACCTACTACAGGGGCTGGTTGTTGCTTATGATGACTGAATTTCTCATGTAGTGGCATTAGGAGTAAGAGTAAACCGGCACAAGGATAACCCCCTCCCCTTGACTTTAACTTAAAGTCCCCCACTCCGCACCAAACATCCCCGTGGTGGTACACTAAATACGGTTTGGGACATGTACTAGAGGGTTGGGAGCTGTTATACTACAGGGAAGGCATTAACATGTTCCAGCTCCTGACCCTACCTAAACCCACTTTGCATCTGATTCTCCATTTCTAGGCCCCAAACCCTACAGAGCCCCCTTGAACTCCTGGATATCGGCCCCCCTATTTAAGCCGAATGCCCATTGTAGGTTTGGGATGTTGTTTTCCATTTGCTTCTCCTTTCTTGGGGGTAATTTCCCTGAACCCTAAACCCTAAAATGGGTAATATCCCTGAGCCCCAACCCTTACATGGGTGATATCCATAAACCCTACACTGAGAGGGGGTAGGCTCATTTCAACACTGGCAGACTTATCTTTCACAACCCTTTAACCCAGGACTGAGGCTCCGGCCTGACTGCATCTTTCACAACCCTAAACCCTTAAACCCTACACCCTAAACCCTGTAAACCCTAAACCCTTAAACCCTAAATCCTTAAGAAAATAAACCCCTTAAAACCCTAAACCCTAGACCGCCACTCTCAGGGGCTTGGCCTGCCTGACCAGCCAAGGTATGCGTTGGCCTGCCAGGGAAAGTTGAGCCCCATGGCCTGAAAAAGGCTTGACTGTGTTGCTGTTAAGGAACTGGGATATTCACTAGTGTTTACCTTGTAGCGCCCCATCAAAATTGCGTTCGTACGGATTGTATAAGGCTATAGTCCGTGATGCTTGTGCATCTGTCCCAGGGCACTTTACTTAAATCAGCCATGGTATGGATACACGGTAAAAATATGTTTGCTGTATCGTGGTGGCTTCATTTCAGTCCCGCAACAGAAACAACTCGGTGAATCACCAGCTTGAACCGAAGCACGCGCCGTGGGAACAAGACCTGGCTGATAAGTTGAGAATATCCCTATAAAGCCCAACGTACTGTCCAGGGTAGGTTTGGGGGGCCCTGAAAATCCAATATTTTATTGCTTTATACGGATTACATAGGGATCATTGGTAAAACTTAAAAAGTCAAACCTACCCCAGATGTGCCCTACTATCTCCCATTCCTTGGAGTCTTAGTTAGTATCCGCTAGGAAGGTGACCATCCTCAGCATCAAGAAACTGAGAATCGGATAGCATGCATCTTGAAGCGGTGGCTCCACAATTTTGCAAGAAAAATATGCACTGATTGTGGAATGACCCACAGCTACCTCGATCCCCAAGACCCGCAGAGAAGCTGTAGACATGAGATGGCTAGGACTCAAACCCCTGAGTGCCCGATGTAGGCACTGCCTTGAAACTTAGCGCTTCAGGGAAGGGAAAAGTTCTGTACACGAGCCCCGTCAGCCCTGCTGTAGACGTCTGACAAATGGTACTCTCCCAAAATAGGAGGGCCATGGAGGACCCCAATCTAGACCTCCACTTATTACAGGGACTCCCACGAAGGTACCCCTAATTTTGGGAAACCCCCAAATCAGCCCGTTACAGTTACAGTTGATGTGTTTATCTCAGCACTTTTCCTAAAGTTCAAACAGAGCTCTGACCACATCAATGGCAACCAGATGGATAAGCAAAGTACGAATACTCATAGTCGCCCTTAAGTAGATAGAATATGGCTTTGGGTATATTGTCATAAAATCCCCATATACCCCATATTCTATCTACTTAATGGGGACTATTGAGCGAATGCTCGAACAGTATGCCTTTCTGTTTCAAAGCGGGGCTTCATTCTCTGCCGTATCCCGAGTGCCGGTGCCAACCAGAAAGATACATGAGCTATAGTCTAAACTCCTTAAAGGGGGGTTATATAGGGGATTATATAGGGGACTACTATAGGGGTTGTTAAGGGGGATACTAGGAGTTTAGACTATAGCTCAGGTCTTACAAAGCCCCGTTCAATTCCTATTAGCTCCTTGAACCCGCGGGGATACCTTTCTAGTACTTGCTGTTCCCATGAGAAGGCATGGGCGTCCCATTTCCGTCACATCCAAGTGCTTTAGGGTTAAGGGTTTAAGGTTGAAGGAATGTCAGTGCATCGAGAGCTTCCCACAGTCTTAAGAGAGCTAGCTTAGCAGTGCCATAACGTATGCTCCGAAGGACCTCGCCCTCAGCCTATACATCGGTACTTCGGACCGCGCAGACTAGCAGTGAAAGAAGGATTGGGTTCTGGGACTTGATTATGGCGACTGTGCAGGAACTCGTGTGGTATCCAATCCATTCCTTCATTCCTTTCAGACAAGCAGCAAGGAAAAGACAGTGATGGCTTCCGTTGACACGCTGTTTTTCATACCAGCTGCTGAAGCACTTCAGCGTTGCAGCCGATGCCGGGAAGACACTACAAACCTATCGAGGGGCGCCTCCGAGTCTCACCTGAAGCCATTAATTGACAGCAGCAATCACGCGATTCAGAAGTGGCCTGAACAAGAATCCGCAAGCGAATTCTTGGGGCTCACTTCTGGAGCAGAAATTCACCCCAAACTAAGCTGTGAGAACGAACCTGGGATTGCAGCCGGCCAGTCTCACGACTTCCAGACCTCAGCAACAACTCCACAGCGCCACACGGCTTCGGCATGCGTATCGAACCAGGGTTAATAGATCTTGTAGGCTTATAGGGTGTCCTGAACTTATAGGGATCCACATTGGATGGGGCATGGCAATTGGTTGGCGGCATACGGCGAGCCGCATTTTGAGAAATACAAGAGCCCCTGACGATCAATCCGAAGCCTGCTATGCAATGCCTGGCAAACTCATAGAACATTCATCTCTTTGAGGCTTTAGCTCAAGGTTGGAAGTATGAACTCCTATGAGTAAGTACCGGCTACATACCCCATCAAGCACTACAAACCCAAGCAAGGGCCCATAGGCAGGATTAGGAAAAAGGTGGGGGCCAGTAGGGCCCCCATGGAGCTTGGATTAAAGGGGGTAAGGCGTGCCTGGGGGCCGGGTGAGGATACTCATGTACTCGGGCTCACTGGGTTATATAGGGGTTATATGGAGGTTATGTTGGGAATATATTGCGGCGAGACTCAGGGTTCTGCAAGTTTTGCCCGATGCAGTTCTGTATGTATCAGCTTCCTTCCAAACCTTCGTGCTCGTACCACAAGAGGCAAGAGCAAAACCCTAATTTAAACCCAGAGAACCCAACACCCTGGACCAGAACTGCAATCCTTGTTCTGAGCTGCGGAACGGCGCAAGAATGGAGCGGAACAGCATGGCAATGGCCCTACCGCATAGCCCTAAAATCGATAATCCTTTCCCCAATCTTACCCCAACGCTTTAAACAACCCCAAGACCCAAAACCCTTCAAACAACTCTTTTGCCAGGACACGTACATTGGGCCCCAGCAGGGAGAGGCCACCAACATGTCGGGAGCCGCGGAGGGGCCATTGAGGAAGGCAACGCCAGTGGCAAAAGCCTGCGATAGTTGGAGGGTCAAGGGGACTTACTCACCCCTATAAGCCTTGTAGTCACCATAGTTATCCCCCTTCTTATCCCCCTTATTACCCTACTTACCAAGTCCCCCTGACCCCCTAGGAAGGATTTGGTGTTGGGGTCAGGTTCAGAAGGCTCAGAGCTTAGGTTGCCTCTAAAGCCTAAATCCTAAACCGTGGACCCTAAACCCTAACTCTAAAGGGTTTAGGCTTTAGGGTTTAGGGCTGGTTTGCTGAAGGTTTTATAACAGGAGCGTGGAGTCTAGGGTTGGGAAGGCTGTGCGGCTCCAGGTTAGGGTGCATGGCTCATATCATCTTATATCTCACCGGCTGACCGCCCAGAGAGCCCCATCAAGCTTATTTGAGGAATTTAACGAAGTCATACTCGGAACCCTACTATCATTTACGCTATATTCTTTATTGAATGCGTATTGGGCTCCCGGGAAGTTCTGGGAAGCAAAAGGGGAACCCTAAACCCTAAACCCTAAACCTTAAAAGGAGCTTCTTACCCACCTGGCTGGCTCAGATAAATAATCTGTTCGGTTGCATCGCCAGAGCTGAACAAGACAATAACACGGTTTTGGGAACTCCAACCCCAAATTAGGACCCTATGACTATTATGTGATGGTTCCCTAAACCCTATACCCTAATTTTGGTGGTTGGGGCTACCAAAATCATCTTATTACAAGAAGTCCCCGTCGAGGGCTATCGGGGAAGACCTGCTTCGTGAGCCCCGGGAGGCGTTCCTAACGTCCCTCGCGTTCATCTTCTTGGTGGGAGAGAATACAAGTACGGATTCAAGGAATAAC